TTGGGTCCCTTTTTCAATGATTCTAGACTCTGACCCCAAGTGAGTTGTTGACTCACTTTTCAGCCCTGGAAAGACCTTCTTCTACCTTCTTAATCCCAGCTGGAAAATTAGGTAAAATAAAAACATGACCTCATTTAGAAACAGATGCTTTGGTCTGAGCAGCACTTTCCCAAGTAAACATATTATGGAGCTTCTTGTGACTTTTGTGGGGGATGTGGTACTGTGCCCCCTTCACCACTGGTCACTTTTGGATCAGGAGACAAAAGCTTGAAATTCTGTTCAATTTGCAGACCAAAATTTAGAAAAATAACCCATTTACTTCCTGAGTATAATATTGTAAGTCAGCCAAAGTTGTACAGTAATACCTGAATAAGAAGCTGACCCAATAGTTTCCTTTAATTTAATATAATATCCTCAACTGGCTGTATGTTATCACAGATTTCTACTACCATATTTACTTGTGAATTTAAGATGGCAAATGCTTTTAAAATCTATATTGGGACTGTCAAAGATTAAATTTATTTATTAAGATGTTACTCATTTGCCAATTTAAAAAAAGGGTTATAATACTAGAAAAAATGATCAGCTAAGTAACGCTATTTCTGACCTAAAAAACATCTAAATGTATAATTCAGATGTTTTACTCCTTAGGTTTGGTTTTGACACACTGCATCTGTAAATTCATTTCCTTATCATAATTCAAATAAATGTCCTGATGTTAATTTTGTGACAGAGATTCATTGACAGGACTGATGTATTATGTCATGGTTCAGTATCTATTAAGAATAGACCAATATTTTCTACCAAAGCACATGCAATTTACACTTTTATGTTTACTAATAATTTCAAACAGCAAAATACTTATCCCATTATTCGTGCTGCCTTTCTGAAGTCGTTCTGGAGCAGCAGACGGTATTGAAGTGCGAGAATACCTATCTTTTTCCCAACATATCTCTTGGAAAGTACTTATAGACAGTTGCATTATTTTCAGAATTTTACTCTGCTTCTGTCTGTCACCCTACCTTTTTTCCCTTTACTTAATAAATAAATACAGATGCCAAGAGCAAGTGAATCCTCTGTATGAGAACATATTTGCTTCTTACTTGCCTCAGGATTTTAGGAGAAATGTTTTCGATTGCATCATCAAGAATTAAGGATTTGCTAAAAATGTACTGTAAACAAAATTGTTCAAGCAAACCACTTAGTGTTTTTTTATGTTACTATAGATTACAAATGGTTCTAAAGACAAATTTTAATTCTTCCCTAAAATAAGACTTGGAATCTCTAGTTCAAATCCTGACAGAGTATGAATGCTCCCAAATCAATCCCGCTTTATCTCTCCCCAGTTTACGTGTCTTGTTTTACTGAGGGAGCTTCCTCAAAAGTCTTATTTCACATTTCCAAATTGCTGTGAATCCTGCCTACTCTGTTCCCTGCTACTCTCAGACTTGTGAGAAAGAAATATTTCTCCATCTCTCCATGGAAAAGAATTGCCTTTTTAGATGGGCTTCCTTTTTATCACTAAGTTTGTATGAATGAATAAAGATGTCTTTTAAAAATACAGTGGAGCTCTACTCAGCCATAAAGAAAGATAAATTGCAGACATTTACAGCTCAATGGAGGCACCTAGAGACCATACTCTTAGGTGGGTTGCTTGAGTCCACCATCATGTCCTCCAGGCCCTCATCCCTCAGTTAACTTTGCCTCTCTGTATTTCTGTAAAACGCCAGTATAGAACACATCAGAATGAAAACAACAAACTACTTTCAGTCTTGTGAGCCCTTTATCCAGCACTTCTTTGGGGTTTTCGGTTTTGGGGGAAGGGGTTAACCATTTTATCCTCTGAAGCACAAGTGCCTAAATCCCACCCGCTGCCAGTGCTCTGGGGACTGCTTGTTGCAAACGTCTTTATCTACAACTCAAAATATTCACTTCAAACATGCTCGTGAATTCTGTATGGACAGCTTTCCCTGAAAAGGCAGATATCTGAAAAGCTAGCGTTGGTCTAGACGGTCAGTGTAAATTGTGACTCCCCATCAAAACTGTTTGAAATAATGGTTGTCCCTGTGAAATTTTAAATCGCTAGTCTCCAGACATTCTTGGTTCGTGAGCTGTAGTGCCATACCGTATTGTCTTTCATGTAAGCACTCCTTTAAAATACTGTGTGCTCATGTATGTTCCTTGTTCTTTAAGGGCTCAATGACACTGGGGAATTTCAGACTGGCATTAGGTGTCTTAGTGCAATTGATCGGGGACTCACATTTAAAATTGTCCCCTTTTGCTGTTCACAGCTTTTAGTATGTGTGTCACATTCTCCCTGAGGAGCATCCAAGCATCCCTCCCATTGATCTTGCCTTTCAATTCCCCTCCTGCTCCTGAGGAGAAGTCACATGGGTCTGTCACTGTGCCCTGCTTCCAGCCACTCTGGAGCTGGCTGCCCGCTTTGAAGGTGCTTAAATGTTCTTCACATTGCCCATGACTCACTGCCCTTGAGAAAGTGTGCCTCCCCCAGCCAACAGACGTTCTTCAAGGGGATGGAACTATTCACTTTCCCGCAAAAGAATCAGTCTCTTTCTGTCTGATTTTGTGACCTTACAAAATTAACATCTCCATTAGCTCTACCTGAGAGGGCAGTAAGATATGTGCATGCTCAAAAGGACAATCTTTTCTGATTGGGGGGGGGGGAAATGTATGTGTATATATATATATATATATATTCAGTGACAAATTACGTGGATACACTGGTACATTTGAGGGGCATACAAATCACAGTATGATGCCAAATACTGTGTTAAAGGATTCACTAAGTATCTGAAAATATTTTAAAAGTGAATTGTGTTGCTGACCTAATTAAAATTTTTAAATGTATGTTCCTCGCTCTGCCATATGAAAGAAAGAAAATCAGGGTACTCTCCTCAGCCCCTTAAAGTGAATTTGATGTTTGCCATATGGCCTGTATTTTAAATTAAAAATCTAAAATCTACTCTCCAAATGAAGTGAAAATCCCTTGATGCAATAATAAAAATGCGTGTGGAAAGTGCTATTTATATCAGTTTGGAGGAAAAGACATTACTCCACTAAATACGTAAGAATATCTATTAAAGAGAATGCAAAACAATCACATTTAAAATATATATATATATATATATATATATATATATATATATATATATAAAGCCTGAATTTAAATGCATACATGTTATGGCCATTACTTTGGGCCATTTTCCTTCTTTCTCTTCTATACCAGAGTAAAATCTCAAGTATAAAATCCCCATGCAAACCACACAGTGTTAGCAGATAAAGTTCAGCAATTGTAGAGTAGATTTTCAGCAAGCATTTAAAAGACTAAGTCAGTTTCAGTAGTATTAGTAATGACCCCATTTTTCTTTGAGCTGTGAGTTCCCTAAAAATCTCAGTATACCACTCAAAAATTGCATGGGTCCATGCAAGAACTCCTTTGTGTATATTTCGGTCATACTTTAGAAACTATGGTACATGTTCATGCCACTGACTAAACAAATGGTGCATGGCAGTGGGAAATTTTCCCAGAGAGAAATTGCTGTCCTCATAAATACTACTGAAGTTAATAACTGAACAAATAGCATAAGTATGTGGGGACTTGGAAGACCACCGCTCCCTAGTCACTTAGAAGAAGCCACAATAGCAGTCGGCTGTTCAGTAAACAATTTGGTTATGAGGTGTTGGTGATTTAATAAGTTGGCCAAAAGTAGTTAGAATGTCACATGTAAGATCTCATGCTGCCTGTGTTTTATTGGTGTGCGCTAGACTCTTAATCGAATGACCAAAGTTCTTGTGCTTGGCATTCAGGAACCTAAGGAGAATAGAGTGATCAGCTTGCCATAACATTGTCTGCATTTTTCAGTGGTTTTCATATGATTCTAGAAAGCTTGTCTAAAAACACTACTCGGGCGACCTGTCTCCTCCTTCCAGTTTCTGCAAAATGCTCAGACTGTTAACCTAGATTTTTAAAAATGTTCTTTTAGCTGTATTGACTAATGCTATTTTATTCTTAGATTGTATGAAAATTAATAATGGGTATTAGAAGGAATTTACTGGGATGACAGCAATGTGGTGATGCACTCTGGGAAATAATGTCTGGCTAACAGAAGGCTTGGGTTGCCAGCAAAGCTGGAAGTCCTCCACAAACACAACCTGTCTGAGGATCTCTGCACAACCACACACTTCTCAGCATCTGTTTGCTCTTCATTCTCGAGCACTCCATGATAGGCATCTTCGTTAGACATTTCTTACGTGCAGATGTATATATGTTCAAAATAAGCTGTTCGTTTGTGTAACTAGTAAACATTCACAGTTCACTAACAAACTAAAAGGAAATGTGAAGCAAGCTTACATTTGCATGGAACTGGAAACTTACTAATTTCTTTTCTTTTTCTCCTCCCTGTGTCATCTGATATAACCATGTAACTTGACCAAGAAAATAGAAGTCGCTAACATTCAAAACCCCATCTATTTAATGTTTGCCACTTGTATACCATGAAGATAGAATACAAAGGTTTCAACAGTGAGGGGCAGCAGATGCTCTTTGATCTCAGGGGGCTTAGGGTGGATCAGAAGAGGCAGAAAATTGGACAATCAAAATAATATGTGGTAAGGATGATGACATAATCCTGCAGTTGCCTCACAAATTCTAGATTCTAAATAAGGCTTTGTGTCTGCATGCCAGTGAGCATATGTGGCCCACATGAATTATGGGAAAATCCACTCCTTACTTTAATTTTTCAGTTTTCATCCAAATGTTACCCCTAAGTAACTGTTCCAGTAACTACATGCAGATTTTATTTCCCTGGGGATCCAGTCTCTGAATGGGAAGGCTATTAGAATGAACTCATCTACAATTAAGGGGCAGAAAAAGTCAAGTGCTAACACAATTGTCAGGGAGAAATAGAAATCCAAAATGACCAGTTACTGGTATCCTTTTTTCTCTCTGTCATGTGCACTTCCTCTGTTTTCTCCCTTAGGGCATCTCCTTGGCCTCTCTCATGATGATTCCAAATTCTGTGAAGAGAACTTCGGTTCCATGGAAGATAAACGCTTAATGTCTTCCATCCTAACCAGCATTGATGCTTCCAAACCCTGGTCAAAATGCACCTCAGCCACTATGACTGAATTCCTGGATGATGGCCATGGTATGTATCACTACAAACAACTAGGGCTCTGAAAAGCAACTGGGGATTCTTTGCAACTTAACTTCTACCCTTTCTATAGTGTTCATCTTGCCTCTAAGACAATGGTTTAGACAGTGTGAGAAAAAGAGCATGGAAATTGACTGTTGACATGTAATGTCAACATCCTTGGTGGCATTACAGCTATGGTGTGTTTTGAGTGGAAAAGTTCAAAAGAGAAAAAATGTGGGAGACCACACAAAATGCCTAGCTGGTGCCCTGAAACCCTGGCTTTTATTTCTTCTTTCACCACTGCCTTCCTGTGAGAACTTTGGCAGACATCTTTGTTTGCCTGCTATTAATATAATGCTCAGAATTATCTGAATTATTTGTTACCCATTAGAGGGATGTGGCTAAGGTGTTGATGACAATTCTACCAGATTTTCTAATGGTAGCGTAAATCCAGGAAAGGAAGCTCTCTTGGTTTTCACTCACTGGAAGAGTTTGATTTCATCCTGACAGCAGATTTTCCTAAAAGGAATGAAAACTGCAGAACAGGAATAGAAAAGCAATCTCAATGATGGGAAAGCACTTCAAAATGTCAAGGAAAGTCCTTGGATTTATCCTTAGAGACAGTTTAAGAACATAGCTTTCTTTATTAAATTCCATAAGGCTAGGATAAGTGCTGCAAGTTACACATAAATACAAAGGAGGTCACAATTTTTAGAAGTAGTAAATCCTTGCCCCTAAGTAGTCTTTCAAATAAGCTGTTGCAAATTTCATAGCATCCTTTAGTACTTTAAAATAGTAGGGACCCAGGAGGCAGACATGGTAAGAGTTGAAGTTCTTCAGAGATCACATTTTTCAAGTTTCTCATCTTACAGAAAATGACATTCCTTTTTGCCATTTTAAAATTTGTCTCTTTCTAAAACTAGTAATTAGATTGAGTATAAAAGAAATTCTGGTCATCATTTTGCATAACATTTTCTTGTACGTGTGGTTCAAAGGCAGATGGATAGTTTGTGATAATTAGCTTTCTGAGTTCCACAATGTTTATGACTTCACATTTTCATAATGTCTTAATGTGTTAGGCAAGTTGAACTTTGTCTACACAGAAATGATAAATTCATTTCAGACAAAAAGAAGTTCAGCTGCAGAGTTCTTTAATGTCATGCCTAAAAGGTGTTCATTAATCCATTTTTGTTACATGAGTGATGAATTAGTAAGATTCCCTTGCTCCTACTATCTGTATTTTCTCTTCCAAAAAGGAATCTAGGGCCAACTTGGTTTAAAATTACTCTCAGTATAAAATAAATGCTTTTCGTTTGTCAAAAGAAACTACAAATATTTTAAAGACTTGACACTTACATTAGGAATCAATGTAATATGCTTGTCCTTTAACTAATAAAAATTTTAAGTTTTACACAACTTTTTGGTACCGGGAATTAACTCAGGACCTTGTGCTTGCCTGGCAGGTGCTTGTGCCACTGAGCTATATCCATGGCCCCCAAGATTGTAATTTTATGCTTAGTTTGGTTTACGATAATGATTAGATGCAGATAAGTCCTTAAGTGAATGTTTACTTTATTTATTTACCTACATTGATCAAATCAATATGTAATAAAGTGTTTCTTCAGTGGAATCTTAACTTTCCACTCCTAAAATTACTTTTACTTCTTACACGTTTCTCAAGATTCCTGAACATCAAATAACATTATAACATTAATATTTTATTTCAAAATCACACGTTACACATTCCAAAGGGTTGAGCTCAATCCTGAATCATTAAATGAATGGATTTAGTTGCTAAGGGAGCAAATACTTATGGCTAAAATGGATTCAGATTTTTTTTCCCTGTACAAGTATTAGATCAACTACTTATAATGCTGTGCAGAATTTTGTTCCTTATTGCCATAATTTTAGAATGATTCATTTATTTCATTTTTGTGGAATTTATGACCTCATTTTCTATGCAGTAAATATACTTTCAGCATTATCTCTGTTTCTTAACATTATTAATCTGTTTAAAGGAGGTCATACTGTGATTTTAAAGACAACAAAGACAAGTTCATACTCTGATTTTACAACAAATTTTTGCATTTTCTAAACATATTTCTCTTCCAAAGAACTCACGATAGGAAGCAACTAAGCACATACTTTGAGTGTGAATAAGTCTTATTCGTTTGTACTGATAAAAGGTTATCCAAGTTTCCCATATATACTATTTAGATATATATAGTAACCAAATTCAATTACTGAATTCTTTAGGCAGACAATGTTTAGTTTATTTATTTATTAATCTCTTTAATCAAACCTAATATCTGTCACTTTTAGATAGACTGGCTTTTTTTGGACAGACCATTGTTTTAATCAAACCAAAATACCTATTGTATAAGTCCCTCAGAAAATGCTCATTTTCTAAAAAGTGAAAAGCAAAAAGAGGTGGTGTGGAACCCTGACCAAGCTCAATCGTGCCTCCTTTCAAATTAACAACCACAGAGGTAGATTGAAACGTACTTTTCTGTAGCACTGTGATTTAACAGAGTTTAGCATGTTTTTTTAAAAATTGAGATAAAAATACTAAGTCAGTGTGAGTGAAAAGATGGCTGTAGAACTGTAAACCAGTGTGAGGGGTTTGAGGTTCTGACATTTTAACAAAAAAGCCCAAGATGATGAAAAAACAGACAAGTGTACATTTTCTCCAGGAGTGACAGATTTCATGAAAACATGTCATAAAATCTTGTCACTCAGGAAACTACCTTAGACCCTATTTATTCATATTTTACAGGGGTAGGGAGGGCTTCAGACAGATAAATTCATGGCAGGAAATGATATTGCTTGATAATGAGAGAGAAGCCGCAAAAGTTGTAAAATACAGCACTAAAACTTAAAAAGTACAGTGGTCTGGTACTCTCTTCCAAAATTCAAAAACACTTTCACACTATTGTTAGCCCTAAAGACACTTGCATATTTCAGCATAATATAATAATTTATACATAAAAAAATAATTTTCAGCCTAGTGTGGTGGTGCATGCCTATAATCCTAGCACTTGTGGGGAGGCTGAGGCAGGAGCATCACTGCAAGTTCAAGGCCAGCTCGGGTTACAAAGTAGGTTCAAGGCCAGCCTGAACTGCATCGTGAAACCCTGTCTCAAAAAGATAAAAAAGAAGATTTTCAGTTACTTAGGTAAGGAAGGTTAAGTGGTGTTGCTAACATAAAGGCAGCACAGCCACTATTATGTTTAAGGGGATATGCTCACAGAATTTATACAACTTTTTGATGATACTTAAACTCTATCTGGAAAATCCATTTATGCGTTATATCTTATCCCCTCCTTTCCTGCCTCTAGCGGTGCTGGAAAGATGAGATCCTAAGCAAAATTAAATTCAAAGCATTTGATTTATTTTTAAAATTATTATCCTTAAGTAGCTGGACAGTTGTGTAGCACTTGACCACTGCCAAATTTAAATTCATTAGTACTGAGTGTTTCTTGATTTAGATCCAGCAAGAAATATGTAGCAGTTAGGTTACGGCTGAGAAGCCAGCAGTGCAAACGCGGATTGGTGATTCAGAAAAGGAGTGCGCATGCGTCACAGGACTCCTTCCTGGCAGAGGTCCTTGTAGAAATTCTGCAGTGTTTGTACAAGCAAGCTATAGGCAAGCTAGCGAGGACTGTGGTCTTCTAAAGTGGAGGTAAGCACTGGCCGAGAAATTGTGCAGTGAAAGCAGGTTATTGAATTTCTTTCTCAAATGCTTAATAACCTTGAGGCCAAAAAAGATAGCTGTGTGTGTTGTATCCTAGATCCACAGTGCCCAGTTATGATAAAGGCCGCCACCTATTAGGTTCAGGAAGACCTGCAATGCAGACTACTGAGGAAAACCTATAGACAGCTTTGAACAATTGACCTGTAGTTGATGTAAAGAGCTAAAGTTTACAGTTGCTCACTAAACACAGAACTTGATAGAAAATGGTATTAGAAAATCAGTCCCTTAAACCTTTTATTAACTGTCCACTATACATCTAACAATAAGAGCTTAACATTTCAGTTTGTAAGGTGGCATTAATAAAATTCAGAGCCTAATTCTTATGCTTGTGTCTTGATTTTCACCATAAACACGTTCCTTGAGAGTGAGCAAATAAGATATTCTGTATTTGAAGGCCATGGTAACCTACATTGTTGAAATCCTTCTTTCACCCTTGATCGCAGAGAATTTGTAGTCAGGTTTCCTTGCTGTCACACCTGGTGTTCTGTGTACCTAATGCCTCCAACAGTTTCACAGACTCCTTGAATGACTTTTGATCAAAGCCTTTTGTTCCTTTGTCAGTTCCCTTGTTCCTTTATCTGTCGCTCACTCCGAAATAATTCCTCAAACAGCAGGCAAATGCACCGGTTCCTCCTTTGAGAGTAGCCATTAAAACACCTAAAAGAAGCGATGTAAAGGCAGGGAGATGAAGATAAGGAACAGGAGGAGATCCTATGAGGTCCACTGGGCCTCTTTGGCTGTTTTGTTAGGAATACTAATTAATTTTTCCCTAAGGCCTTTTGGCTTCCTGGGCCTCACCAAGGGGAGAGGAATTGTCTTGGGCAGCCTATTAAACAATTAGTATATATAAGTAACAACATTTCCCATTTTATTTATTTGCTGTTATTATAATACTAATCAAAAAAATAGGGAATGTGTTCTGCAGTCTGCAGACTACAATTTAATACACCTGTTCTAGGCCATGGATACTTGGGCCAATGCTTAAATTTAAGCCTGAGTGTTAAAAAGGAGAAGAACAAAATAACTGCACTGCTAGAAGTGGGAAAGAAAAATGAAGTTGTAAAGAACAACAGCCTTACTCTGATAACTTGCATGCATTATTTATATGAAGGAAAAGTACTACTGAAGCCAGATGTACAATACTGGAGATTTTTCTGTTCTGTTTCCTGAAGACAAGGTATATCATTCATCAGGCCTGGGAGGAATTCATTCCTGGGAGGAATGGCCAGAGAGAAACTACTATATTCGTTCATTTTTTTTTTTTTTATCCCAAATCACTACCCTTTACTTTTTTAATCTTTTCTTTAAGCCTTTGATTTAACATGGATAGTAAAGTATGTGTGCAATATATACACATATTTACTGGCTTTTTTCTAGAAAAGATCCACTTTTATCTACAAACTGCTAAAGGAAGGAAGGAAACAAAGAAGAAAGGAGAAGGAAGGAAGGAAAGGAGGAAGGAAGGAAGAAAGAAAGGAAGGAAGGAAGGAAGGAAGGAAGGAAGGAAGGAAGGAAGGAAGGAAGGAGCTTCACAATTTGTGAAACAGTAAAGTGAAAAAAATGTTTGCAGCAAAGCCCAGATGGGATTTCAGACTAGGGTAAATTTAAAACCATATGAGAAATAGTACGGGACAAAAAGGCAAACTTTTTGGAGGTAAGGAAGGAGGTAAAAGAAAGGGAGGACCTAACAGAAAGGGGTTAAAGGAATTGAAGATGATTAAGAATGGTATATGCATGTACAGCTACTTGAAGCAAACATCACTATTATGTATTACATAATAAAAGCAAATATCACTATTATGTATTACAAATATATACTCATACAAATGTGAGGTTGATATGAAGAAGTTAATGGGAATGAAAGAAAAACTGACCAGAAAAATTTAACAATAGATCAGATGGCTTTAGGGGTCATCATAAATGATGCTGAGAGATTGATAAATTTGCCCTTGTACCCTTCCCCTAAAGAGTACCCATTTTCTAAAAAAATGGAAAATGTTTGTCCAATTGAGTTGTGCTTGGATTTTAAATATTTTAAACCATTAGATTTAGAAGCAGGCTCAATAATTGTTTGCTGTCATTATTACTTGGCAAGAACCTGCCATGAATTACAGATGTCTGTACCTATTCCACTGCAAAAAACATACTTTAACATAAAAATGAAGTCAGTAGAGTGTATGTTTCCAGGGTAAGCAGGAACCAGTAGAGCAACAAGCCCTAATACTTAGAACACTGAAAATAAATCAATGACAACCAGTTAGTAAAAGCAACCGTTTTATTTTCAGAAAGCAAATGTCATCTCCACATGACCTCTAGGAAAATAAATCAGAGAACAGATATACCTAATTTTTAATAGGAAAACAAATGGATTGGTTTTTTTTTTTAATATACTGGATGAGGCTAGATAAAGAGATGCCACATCTTGAAGTCTCCTTGTTTTATACAGATTTCAAATTATGTTCTATATTTCTTTTCACTCCGCATCAGTTCCTGCGATAAAATAGAGGTCAGTGATTTTGTATCATAGTGAGGCGGTGAGGTCTTTTGAGTCAGGATAAATGTACCCACACAAGGCAAAGACTTCCCAGCTAATATTTATTTACCCAGTCCTGTGATCTGTGCTTTTTAGTAAAATGTGTTCAAGTTTCTCAAAATGGCACTTTTGAAGAATTGGAAAGCATCCTTGCTGACTCAGACTTGTCGATGGTCTTTTAACCTTAGCAACTCGCTAAGCTTTCCTGGAATTACATGGCTCTCCTTCCTTTTTATGTAGCCATGGTGATAAGGTTTTTCATAGAGTTCTCAAGTGCCTAATCTTACTCTGTCTGTAAATAAAGCTTAGTGAGGTCTTACTATGATTCTTTCCTCTGCACTTGATGTTGATGTTTTTCTTTTAACTTAATGTTTTCTTCCCTGAGTTCTCCTTGGCAGGATAGTTATTTTTAATGCTTTTTCTGGCTTGTCTTGAGAAGCTTTACCTCTTCAAACACCCTGGCTCAAAAGTTAAATAGGAAATTTGGTTTTTATTCATTTTCATATAATGCCTTCATCACACATGGACAAATAGGTGTAATGTATTCACTTTAAAGAAACTCGACTATGGTTGTAAAAACATTTTTAATACACTTAAAATGTGCTTTATAGTTTGTTTCTTAGAGAAAAGTAGGGATTTGAATATAGTTTTCTTCTACTGAATGAAATACATCTAAAAATTTGTTAAAACAGGCTGGACATAGAAGCAACTGTGATGGTTTCATATTTTTCTGGTCTCCCTTTATATCTTGTTAGCTAAGTTTATTTTCAGAATGTCATAGTGAAAAAAGAAACATTTCACTTATCTTGAAAATAAATTAGGGAAAACTTAACTAGCTGACCAGAAGCACTCAGCCATTTAGTGTTTCTCCAGGATTAGACTTGAGACAGCTGTTTTTACCATTAGGCATAATATTCACTACTTAAAGGATCCTTAGACATACTTGCCCTTCAGCAGAAAAATAAGACAGATATCCACATGCCTGAGGCAATGTGGTAAACGATAAGAAAGGCAGGGTTTGAGCACAAAGCCCTGATACTGTATTATGTCACTATGGGTAAGCCATCTGATCTACCTTTAGCTTTCTTCCATCACCTTATCTATGGAAGAAGCAAAATAAGTCTGCTTTATAGGGTTTTCATGCATTACGTAAGCTAGCACATGTTAACTGAGAATAGTGTGTACAGTATAACATATGTGTATTATTCTTATTGCTGCTATAATCAGGGCATGAATTCTAAAAACAAGTAAACAAGCAAAACTAAACCTCTAGAGAAAATTAATGCTGTCCATTTACTGGGCAGGGATTCTTAAGGAAAGTCTGGGAGGAAAAGCACATTTCAGCCTCTGACTTTGCATGATCGATGTCCCATTTCACTCCCCTTTGCCTGTCCCCATGCACGCAGTCCATACACAGTACAGTAAGACACCAACCGGGCTTTGACAGATGCAAAGTACCCAATGTAGACCAGTTCCGTGAAAGAACAAACACAAAGGGGAGAAAACAGAAGGCTATAAACATTGGCCTAGTCCTGAATTATCAGCGATTGTTCCTTCTCTTCTCCTATCCCTCCTTTATTCTGTAAATTTTGAAAGGTTTTTATTAAAATCTTTCTCAGTCTAGGAGAAATATTTTATGTAGTCTATGCCCTTCACCTTAGTCAGGAATTATGACGGGTAGATTGGGATCACTTTCCTGTGTTCTTGACACCTAGAATGTGTTGGAGAGCATGCTTGGTACTAAGCAAATGCTCGCTCAGTAAATACAAGAATAAATCAGGTACCACTTTGGTTATTGTTTATGGAATTAGGGGAAAGGAGGCACGTGCTAAGCACATGAGGGAAACGATAAGTCGGAAATGTTGAACGTGTTATAAATAGAGCACCTAGAATACTCTGTTTCTTAAGGTTGGAGAGTAAAAGGTTTGCTATTGTTAATTTCACAATCAGATTTCCTCTGGGTCCACCTGAATGTCTTTTTGGTACCTCAGCAAGACGGCTATTTCCATAGCTAAGTACAAAAAAGTAATTTCCTGTAATCATACTAACTCTAAGACTAGAGATGCTCCAGATGCCCCATGGGGGATGCTGGAGTCCGGGGAGGTGCCCAGCCTTGCCCCACACACATCACCTTCTTCAGGGGTCCACACTGCAGATTTGGGAGCGCTCTGTGCTTCAACATTACCTGCAGCATTTCATTTTTTGAACCTTTTTATATTATATATAATAACTCCATTCATTGTAGGAGCTGGTACATGTACATATCACATCTCAACCCGTCTTCCCCTTCACACCCCCCAGGTTCCCTTCCCATCTCTATAAATTTCCTATCATCTATCTTTTGTTTTTTTTTAATTTTAAATAGAAAAAAAATACAATCAATGATACAGAATTTTAAAACAAGATAATAGAAAATTAACAATGGTTATTATATTGTATACTGATATTTTCAAAGTAGTTGCTCAGATCACAAGATATAGGAGTGCAAAATTGATCAAACAATATAAGTACAAACCATTCCTTTCGATGAACTAATAGGACTTAGTAGTGTAATTATCTTAGCTGTTTTATATATATATATTTTTTTTTTCTTTTCCCTTTCTTCTTTTCTCCTTTCTCCCATCCCAGTTGTTCTTTCCTTTTGAGCAGTTTCTTTCCCTTTTACCATATCTATTGTACATTTTGGATTTTATTTATTCTTTCAGCTGCTTATACTAGGGAGACAATATGATTTATCTTTAGTTTTGATCTTTATTTGTACTTGATCTCTCTTGTAGGAGGAACCATGCCTCACTGAACCTTCTGTGATTTATTTCACATTTTTTAGATCTCTGATCTCAGTGATATGAAACCTAAACCTACAGCTGTGATTAGTCTTGGTTATTCTTTTAGGTAACTGTTTGCTAGATGTGCCACGGAAGCAGATCCTGGGCCCTGAGGAACTTCCAGGACAGACTTACGATGCCACGCAGCAGTGCAACCTGACCTTTGGTCCCGAATACTCTGTGTGTCCCGGCATGGATGTGTGTGCCCGGCTCTGGTGCGCTGTGGTGCGCCAGGGCCAGATGGTGTGTCTGACCAAGAAGCTGCCTGCTGTGGAAGGGACACCCTGTGGGAAAGGAAGAATCTGCCTGCAGGGCAAGTGTGTAGACAAAACCAAGAAGAAATACTATTCAGTAAGTTGTGTTCGCATCACCCAAAGCCTGAAAGTCACCATGGGAGGTACATGCCTAGGACATGTGTGGCATTGTCATCAGAAGGTTTCATTTGACTTCTAGGGATCAAAACATTTGACCTAAGGAACAAAAGGCTACTTAGGAGAGCCTACAACATAGTTCTTCTAATTATTTGATAATCTCTAATATGGCCATGTTTTACTCCAACTGGAAGTCCATCTACCTTTAGGAGCTACCATAAGCTAAGACTGCTCGAAGGAAACATTTCTATCACTAAATGCACAGTGTCCTTAATCTTCAAGACCAGATCAGAGTATGTGTTCACTGTCATTTGTAAGGTTTGTGACATCCCTAACTTAAGGGTGCCATGTACTCATTGTCCATGTCTTTCAGCCTGCCACCAATTGCGCATGATCAGACACCCAACACCAGCAGCCAGAGGCGGTTTCGCACATATTCTATGGGAAAAATTGTTTGAAGTATGTTGCTTGTGGGAGGCTTAACTCCCTCCTGGAAGGAGTCCAGAGAATAGTCCTGGGTGGCACCCAACACTCCTTCCCTGTGGGGTGCGTAGAAGTAGGGTGCAGATGCCCTTCAGCATGTCGCATCTAATCAGGATTTATGCCAAGCTGAACTCCAAGACATTTGGATATGCAGCGGAGTCTGTCACAGGCAGGATGTGTGATGTCAACAAAGGAACTGTGAAACTTTAGGGCTAGAAAGAAAAAGATGCAGATACAACCAGACAGTGTTTGCCGTCATGCAGACCATTGGCTTTATACATTTGATTAAAAATCCATGTCACAAAAGTCAGAGTGCTTCAGCAGTTGTGAACAGACTTGACAATAGCAGAAAGCATAATTTAGAATGTCTCAGGGAAAACAAGAGGAAATCTTTGTGAAGGACTAAGAATCTAGGGTGATGTTTATTCTTTGTTGCTGAGAGTGGGATCCTGGAAAAAATGAATTGCTTAATATTGGAAATGTGTTTTAATTCCAGAGCATGACCTCGTTCAGTTCAGTAAAGACTTAACTGTATCTGTTTTAAGTTCCCGCTGTATCGTTGCTTGCAGGTGTTTTCCAGAAGTACTGTACAATTTGGATGTTTTCTTCCTCTTTGGGTTAAACTATCTTCTGTGTTCTATTTCAGACATCAAGCCACGGCAACTGGGGGCCTTGGGGGCCCTGGGGCCAGTGCTCTCGCTCATGTGGGGGTGGAGTACAGTTTGCCTATCGCCACTGCAATAACCCTGCACCCAGAAACAGCGGCCGCTACTGCACAGGGAAGAGGGCCATCTACCGATCCTGCAGTGTTGCGCCCTGCCCGCCGAATGGTACGCTGCTCCCACGTGTCAGTAATTGCCACAAACCACATGTAATTTGTGTCCCAGCAGAAGTAAATAGGGAAGGCTGTTGAAATAGTGTTTATCTTATTAGTGCATAGTCCCAAAATTGTTCAAATCAATAACAAACATGTGACTTGTTTTTAAAGTATTATCATTATAAAAATATGTATTTAGAGAATTAGAAGCAAAACGTCCTCTTTTCCATTTCATATAGATAAAATCATTCAATACTGTTGCTTACAAAAGCTGTGTGATAAAAACACTAGCATCTTCCTTTGAAAATTAATTATTTAAATGTATAAGAATATAGCTCAATTGCAGAACAAATAAAGTATTCTTATAATGTGCTTTGTTCCCTAGGTAAATCTTTTCGTCATGAGCAATGTGAGGCTAAAAATGGCTATCAGTCTGATGCAAAAGGAGTCAAAACATTTGTGGAATGGGTTCCCAAATACGCTGGAGTCTTGCCAGCGGACGTATGCAAACTGACCTGCAGGGCCAAAGGCACAGGCTACTATGTGGTCTTTTCTCCCAAGGTAACTACCCCCTCACTGGCCAGGAGCAGTAGATGTCTTCCATGATTTGGTAGACGGAAGCCTGCAGAGGCCAAATGTAAACACTCATTATTTGGGGAAGGTGGCTGGATTGGGGAGGGTTTTTATTTTCATCTTTTTAATTGCTATTTTTTTTCAAACTTTATACAATGAACAATTTAAAGAAAATGTAACAAATAAATGCTTTAAAAGCTATTTTTCAAAAGCATAACTCACTGTCAAGGAAAGCAAAATGCGACCTTAACTTTAAAATATCCAAGAAAACAGCCAGCATTTTCTAGGCACGTTTGCTAAAGGGACTATAAGAACTCTTTGCTGAATTATAAGGATGGGATCATGCCCATTCATTGTCTCCGATGCAAGCTTTTGAGTAAGTCTTAGACTCTTAATATGAATAATATCTCATTCCTTATTTTTCACAGAACAGCATTTCCTAAATATACCCCAGGTTTTTTTTCTCTTTCAGTTTTTGGGTTGCAGTTGAAAAATACTAACTTTTTAATTTACTAACAGGTGCTACATTTAAAACACTTCTGAAACTGGCCTGATATATATATATATACACACACACACATACAAACATATACTTGTTAGTGAAAAATAAACTAATGTCTAACAGGTAATTCTTAAAATATCATATTTCACTTATGAAATAATACATTTTCATAAAAAATATTACAGATTTTAAAAAATGCCACTTTGAAATACCACCATCTAGTTTTACACTGACACAACTAAAAAAAATTCATATTTATATGTTATATGTACTCACTTGGACAAGCTACAAATGTTTATGATTATATGCTATCTTTTTTTTTTTTTTTTTTATGGTACCAGGAATTGAACTCACAACCTTGCGCTTGCCAGGCAGGCGCTGTGCCACTGAGCTAAATCCCCAGCCCCAGTATGCTATCTTCACTAGCTTTGCAACAGCATATACTGATCTTTTTTTACTCAAAATGTACTCAATCTTCTTCAGTATATACTTTTCTGACCTTTCCAGAGTGTATATTTTACAGTTACTTGTCTACTTCTATTTCATTGTCTAATAGTCCAACACACAAAGGGAAGTGTTCTGCCACCTATGACATGGTCTTGGATAGGTTTAATTTTCAGCTTTTTGTATAATAACCTTTATGCAACAGAAAAGACTCTCTATGTCCTTAAGCCTTCTCATGTTCAGCTTTTTACTTGAGTAACAGACCCATACCCTAAGTGAAAACATTGTTTTGATCAATGTAAAAAGCCGTGATACAGTAATACCTTGGTTCATGGATGCTTTTGTTTGCAAAAAACTTGCAAACAAAAATTCTCAAACAGAAATGTTTGGCAAAATTTTGTTTTTGTTTGCAGACTGCACCGGGTGACAAACATGACCGCGGCCATCTTTCCCACACCAACATAATTGTGGCCATCTTTTCCAAACTTGTAGAGCAAAATTAAGTTTGTATACCGAGGTACATTGAAATGTTTCCAGAACTTGTTATGCATATAAAAATGGAGAGCAGTACCTTGAATCACTTAACATATTGGGGGTTCAAGAGAAAGTGCATAACCTTCTCTGACTTCTCTGAAACTTCTTACTGCCAGTATTGCAAAGATTTTTTTAGTTAGATGCTTCTGAAAAGTAAGTGGTTGATTGATCATTGGTTGCTTGTTCTTTTCCAATGTATGATTTAATCCAATCAAACTCATATTAGAGTTTGCTAGCTTGCCAAAGGAGCCAAGTGCTGATGCACAGATGTGTTCCACTGCTGAAGTACCTGCCATGTTTCAGGTGACTGACGGGACCGAGTGCAGACCTTACAGTAATTCTGTCTGCGTGCGAGGGCGGTGTGTGCGAACTGGCTGTGATGGAATCATTGGGTCAAAGCTGCAATACGACAAATGCGGAGTATGTGGAGGCGACAACTCCAGTTGTACAAAGGTTATTGGAACCTTCAATAAAAAAAGGTAATGTTATAGAACCCTTTCCCTTCTATGAACTGAATAAAGCTTTAGACCAGCAAACTTGATACCAGGGGACTCATATTACTGCCTCAGGTCTCTGTAAGAGGCTTTCTCACAGAAGAGGCTTGAGTAGCACAGTGTGACTCTGAGAAGGGAGGAGAGAAGATAAATAAGGCTTTGGTGGCTCAGTGGACACTCATGAACTGCTACAGTCCTAGCGCTCAAGGTCTTGCACAGTCAGACAACTAAAAAGGAAAAGTGGGTGGCATTTCACTGCAATCATCGCTTGCAGACTGATTATTTCTAAAGTATAATTTATGAAAGGATAGCTGGCAGGTTGTGCTCTTCTTGAGAAAATATTTCCTCTGAAAAATATAAGTTAATTAAAGTGGCAAGGGTAACAGTCCTACTTTAGAGTGAACTATTCTGGTGTATGACTACCCTGTCAGGGTATACACACAGCAGCGTCTCTAGCTTCTCCAGTTTTGCTTTAAAGGTATCAGGGCATGAATTGCAGGTTCTGGCATAAAATCTAATGTTCTTACAGAATGGATGGATTGGCTAGAGAACCTGATGGAATATGGGATTATTTTTCTTGTTTGCAAAAACTCACACCAAATGGAATGGGTTGAGTCTACCTGTGTTCGCTACATAGATGCTGAGTTATCTTTAACTTGATAGTGATGCACAGCCCAAATAAATAATAAGAACTTACTAAAAACATAAAACATAATGCAAAAACTGAAAATTTTCTTTCATTAAAAATGTATGGCTGAAAAGTTTATTTTGAGTGAAATATAGTTTACCAATCTTTTTTGCTAAGGAAATAATAATTATTTGCATATGTGGGGCCACACCTGTAAAAAAAAAAAAACTCTTCACATCCAATTACATCCTGCATTTTTTTTAAAGAGAAAGAACATCCTGCATTTTTGTATATTTCAAAGGTGTGAGACACCTCAGAGATGATCATTTCAATCTTTTGTTTTACAAGAGAGGAAACCAGGAAGATGGACATGTAAGACTTACACAAATTTGAATGGCTGATGAATACCAGAGAAGAGCAGAGGTTACAATTGAAGTCATAGAATTTGTAGGCCACTTTGTGATTTCAAAAATGAACAAAGGAAAGAAGGGAGGGAGGGACAGGAGGTGGGGAAAAGGGGATACAGAGAAAGAAAAGGGAAGAGAAAAAGGGAACAAAGGAGGAAGAAGGGAAGTAGAGGAGCAAGAAAAAGGGAAAGAAGAAAAAAGGAAAAGAAGGAAATTCTTGAACTAGATGAGGAATAAAATCATCTTTAAAATTCTACCTTATATACTATTTGCTATGTCTCCTGCCTAGGGTTAAACAGCACTTGCAAAAATGTTAAATAGAGTATTCTAAGCTTTTGTGTTGACAACTAATATCTGAACATTAATGTCACATGAACAGGCAAAGAAATTCATAATAGAGACAAGTGATATGCAACATAAATTGATTATATTATTTGGTAAAAGGTGGGAACCGGAAATGAGACAATTCAGTTTCACACACTTCAAACTGTATAAGTAATGGTATTTCTCTTTGAGTAACTAAGAAAGTACAGTAAGGGTAATATAGGGGGACATTATTATGGAATGCTTATGAAGGCAGATATTTTGGCAAGTGTTGCTCCTTCATACTGGCATAATCCCTTGGTGCTTAATTAGCATTTCTGTCCTAGAATTTACCCCAAGTTTAGAGACAGTTGAAATAATTATATGTTGGTCCATTCCTCAGAGCTAATGATGGATCTTTCGATTCTTATTTGTCACCTACTGTAACCTTTCTCAATTTATTGAAAGATCATTTGCAGACTAAGTATTCAGGAAAATTTAATAAAAATGTTAAAATCTATTTTTCTATGAGGTACTAGGTTCTCATTATCCAGTGACAGCATTTGACCTTACATTCAGTGTCTTACCTCGTGACATCCAGAGTTCAGAGGCTCTGCTCCACCTCCAGACAAACAACAACTAAATCTGTGCTCTTGAACTTGAGCTTGAAAAGTACTGTTGTCTGACCTCATCCTGCAAGATGGGGACTTAGTGGTCTGGCTTTGGCATAACCTTGGGAATTTCTAAGAGATACCTACCTAATTCCAATACGCAAACAAACTTGAGAAACTTTAATCATTTCTGTGATATTCCATAAAGAGAATTTTTTTGGAGGCTCACACATACATATACCTCATTTTATGCCAAAAATAATATAAAGTAGCTTTGTAAAGATGGTAGTATTGATTAATATGGCAATAGAATATAAAGCATTAAATGAAGTTGGTATAAATTTTTTAAATAATGGTAGGTTGCTAACATCATCCTATTTTTGAACATCTCAATAAAATTGTGTACAACCTGATAGCCTAACTACAATTTTATTTTGTCATAAAATTTAATTTTAAAGACAATTTAAAGTAAGCTCTGAAATATGTGATGACTTTGTAATAAGATGAAAGCTTTTAGAGAATTACTATTTGTTTATCTGTTGAAGTGTTTACTTACTTTCTGTTTTCTTCCTCTTTTTCTTTCACTCCCTCCCTTAACTGTCTTCCCACTCTTTGCTCTTCTGTGAACGTTTCTGCCTCCAGTAAGGGTTACACTGATGTTGTGAGGATCCCGGAAGGGGCAACCCACATAAAAGTCCGACAGTTCAAAGCCAAAGACCAAACTAGATTCACTGCCTATTTAGCCTTGAAAAAGAAAAACGGTGAGTACCTTATCAATGGGAAGTACATGATCTCCACGTCGGAGACCATCATCGACATCAACGGCACTGTCATGAACTACAGCGGCTGGAGCCACCGGGATGACTTCTTGCATGGGATGGGCTACTCGGCCACAAAGGAAATTCTAATCGTGCAGATTCTTGCGACTGACCCAACTAAGGCGTTAGATGTCCGCTACAGTTTTTTTGTTCCCAAGAAATCCACTCCAGCAGTAAACTCGGTCACTAGCCATGGCAGCAATAAAGTGGGACTGCACACTCCACAGCTGCAGTGGGTGACCGGCCCATGGCTCGCCTGTTCAAGGACCTGTGACACGGGCTGGCACACAAGGACGGTGCAGTGCCAGGATGGAAACCGGAAGTTAGCAAAGGGTTGTCTTCTTTCTCAGAGGCCTTCTGCATTTAAACAGTGCTTGCTGAAGAAATGTTAGCCTGAGGCTACACTCTTCTGCGCAAAGACAGCTGGAGGATGCATCCTGGATACAGCTGTGGTGAACAAGAGGTCTACCCCACGCACAGAAAGTCACACTTCAGTGTCACTGTCACCAGGAATCAAATTATGGGCAGAATCTGCTCTCTGTGACCAAAAGAAGATGTGTACACTGCTTCATGTGACAATGGTGACCTTGAACTATGGAAAAACTTGGGAGTTATTTAATATCCCCTGGGCCTGCAAGAACAAAAAGTAAATAAATAAAACATTAATGAATGTAGAATCAGGGGACATTTGAAGATAGCAAAACAATCTACCCTCTGTCACCTACCTCTTATACAATGTCTTCAAAGGCATTATAATCAGTTTCACCCATGATACACAGTAGCTTATTTTTACTGTTTGTAAGTGCATTTCCCCTTGGTATGTCACTTTATATTACTTGGTTCTATTTATATATGTGTATATATATGTGTGTATGTGTGTGTATGTGTGTGTATGTGTGTGTGTGTGTATATATATTTCTATCAAAAAGTGTTTGACCAAAGTAGGTCTACAGCTATTTCAATTCCCACTTTCCAGAAAGAGCTGTGGATATTTTACTGGAAGTTAAGAACTTGCTGCTGTTTTAAAAAAATTTAGTACATTTTCTGGCTAAAACAAACAAAATATATTCCAAAACCATTTTAACAGCAAGCATTTTCTAAGCAATTTTGCAAAGAAAAACAAATCTCAGCGTATTTAGTCATTTCAATATATTCCTGGGTCCATCTACTTAAACTTGCGGCTACTTATACTTTTTTTCAGGCAGCCAGCCAAATTAACAAACGAATAGAATATAGGAATAGTGTTTGTGTGTATGTGATCAATATTCAAGAGTAAAAATTAGTTTCCTTGTGTTGGAATTTTCAAGAAAAAATGTATGTCACCATGTTTTCAATTTATATTTTCACAACTGCTTGCTCTTTCTATGGCTCCCAACTGCTATCTTACAATGTGTAACATACATACAGAACACACAGCACAGAGCTATTACATCCAACACCTTAAACATTGGTATACCTCTTACCAGCAAGCCTTTAAAATGTGTTTGTTCTGCTTGTTTGTCTGTTTCATTCAAGGGTTCTAAAAATCTACAATGTTTTATACTTCTCTTTGGCTTGATTTAATAGGCATATTAAAGCTCACATAGTAATAAGCCACATCTAGAAGGGGTAATTATCATTAAGGTGGTTAAAGCAAAAAAAGTGCTTAACATTAATAAGACTGTTTCCACACAACAGGCAAGAATTTAATTTAATATAAATATATTCCTACTGTATTCAAGGTTTTCCCAATTGGAAAGGGTTTGGCTGTATCAGTACATGTGTGAGTGATAAAATGTTATGATTTTCAGGAAGTATATTACATTTATTTCCATATCTTATCTAGGTAGGTTATAAGCTTGATGAGTCAGCCATTGAAAATGTTTTACAATCACATGCATGAAAATTTATTTTTAGATTGTGAACTGCATATCCACATGCCCATAAGTCAGAAAATCAAAGATGTTTAGTCCATAAGGATTTATTCTTTTATGTGAAATACTAAAAGCCAATCATTTTATATAAAATTTTATAAAACAATACCAAATGTGCCTATTGTGAAAGATTTAAATATAAAAATTTTAGGGAATCATTGATTTGATTCCATTAAACTTATGAGAATTTATTTTTAGTATAAAATATTTTTATTATAAAAGAATTATGTAATTGATCTCACTATATCACATTAATTCATTCATTTCAGGGGCTATGAAAACATGTCTCTTGTTTAAGATATTTTCTTAAGAAATTATTTTTAAGAACAGATAATTATTTTACAAAATCTATAATCATCTTTTGGATTTTCATAGGATTATTTTGTTTTATACATAGCAATTTTATCTTAAGGAGTTATCATTTCAAGAATTGGATCTACACAAGACTAGTAACCTATATTTTCTGGAGTTCACCAGGTAACAAAGACAAGGGCAGGGAACAAAGCTCTCAAATTGGTCAGAAAAAAAAAAAAAGAAAAAGAATTAAAAGAACTCATACTGATATTTAACTGTGAGAACAGAATCAGTACAAAGCTCAGTGTTACTTTACCCAATTTGGAAATTTTAATCAAATAACTCAAATGTGACAAAATTCATTTTCACTTTCTGTGGTTATATTTCCAGCAACATTAAAAAGTATTGAAGAGTAAACATGGTTGTCTTCCACTCGACTTCACCATAGTATATTCAGAGTTTTGTGGTAATATTTATCAGTGACTCACTTTTCCCCAGATGCACGAAGTTCTATACTTCTCACTGAAACAATCCTAGAAAGGTTAGAATAAATTAACCACTCTTGAAGGTTTTTAAGTTTTCTCTCCTTTTTTTGTTAATGAGTATCACGAAATTGAGGAATGTATGCCACAACTCCTGAGAAAAGTGGTATAGACTGAAAACTGTAATTCAGAGAAATAGAATGTTCAGTAGATAAAAAAAGTGAGCAAAAGGAAAGTGCTCTATGACTATAATTCTGTCCAGTTTGATTGTATCTTGTCTCACATTTCTGTACCTGCATTTTGAATTTAAAAGCAAACCGATTTAGGGTTCAAGATGCTGAAAAGAGGGAGAAAAAAAGAGTTTGTTTAAAATGCTCAGGTTTGTAAGAATTTAATCTCATTTGCATAACTAAGCAGTCTGGAGTAAGTTTTATTAAGTACAGAGGGAACCCAGAAGAAAATACGTTTATTTCTTTCAGAATAGAAAAGGTTAAATTAAGCCCTGCCTTGTGGTTTAGAAGTATAAAAACATTGCTGTAATTTATCTTACAAATTCAATTTCCTTTGCCTTCCTGTGGAAACAGTTTTATCTCATTAAACTAAGAATTAAGGGATGAATCACAAACAAAAAGAAAATAAGTTGCAGCACTGAAAAGTAATTTATTGTTTTTGCAACTGGTATGTGAATTTGTGTGACAAAATTATTTATTCTTATTTAACAAAAATATGTGCAAATTCTTCTATATTTAAACTTTTTCCTATAGTCCTACTTTTTAATTTATGCTTCATGTTTGTGTATAAAGTACAGTTTTGTGTGTTTACATAATATACAGCACTGGGCGCTTTTGTATTTTTTTATACTGAAAGCTTTCTGTGTGAATCAAGTGTATATGTGTACATTCTCATGTTTCCTTCTTCTGATACTATCATTCTTCTTTCCAAGGAAATTTTAAATTTAATCTTTCTTGATCAGTAGTGTTCATTACCTGTAGCTCCACGAATAGGTCTTTTATATTTCATCAGCACTAATGTTTCCAAGTCACAGACAAGAAAAAATGCTTATTCAATCAAATAAGGGGTAAATTGTACACATGAGCATACAGATAGTCTGGAACAGAGGTGGTAAACCTGTGGCATGCATGCCACAGCCAGCTGTTTGCATCATGGAAAACTCTAAAAGGCTCATCATTCCTGACCTAGAAGCTTTCCACTGAAGCTAAGACACATTAAAGAACCAGGTTCATTCACATGATAGATAAACACAAAGCACTGTTGATACTCTATCTGAAAGTCCTTTACACACAACTTTTGAGTGATAAGAATAACAATAAAGCAAAGCTTGTCTTTTGAGGCTTGAGAAACACTTCCAAAAATTAATATCACTTAGTCTCTAATATCTGTAGCATTCTATAGATGAGCACACACACACACAAATGGGATTTCCATGATTCAGGTCCGGTAATTTCAACTGTTTGTACAAACATTGGATATCTGCTGGTGAAATGTGGTTTTTTTATGACTCTAAAATCACTCAGAGCTATGATCATCATACTGGAGAGAGGCAGCAGTAACACACATGAGAACACTAACTTCACAGTCTGATCCTGTAATATGTCAAAGCACCCTTGGACTCACTGCACAGTTCATGAGCTCCATCTCCGGTTCTGACACCCTCTGTTGAATCTTTGCTAGCAAGCTCATGTCTAGCCAGATTGAGAAATTTGAGATTTGTGCTACGGCTTCGAGGTCAGTTTGTAAAATAAGATTGAATTTAACAATGACTGAATTTTGCTAGTAATCTAAGTCTGAGTGTGAAATCTCATTAGAAAGAGGGCGGCATATTAGTAACTCCTTATAATTAAATTTGAGGCCAAATACCTTATTTTTATAGAGTTCAAAGCTATGAATACATGAAATAACCATAAGTACAGAAGTACACATAGGAAACAAATTCAAGGTGCTTTGTCATTTAGACTCAAAGAAAATGAATTTCTATGTTTTCCTAGTATTTTTCTCATTTGCCAACAACCTATAGTTTTATATTGTCAGAGATAGATCTACTGACCTGACTCGTCCACTGAAATATTTTCCTAATAGCTGTCTGTTGGCCTGAACTACAAAATGATTTATTGAGTTATATCATCATAAAACACACAGTCTACACTGCATAATTGTGCTCTGTTCAATTAAAGTATGGGAGCATATTAAAATATAAAACCAGGTATTAGGCAAAAGATAGGAATACAAGATGGTCACATCAGCAAAGCATTCACCTAGTAAATGCTTAGTGACATAATATAATTCTACTGCAGGTTTTGTGGGGAAAATAAAGGGATATGTTGTTAGAACTAGTTCATTTTGAGAGTTAGACTTTAGAATACATATTAGCTCTCCCAATTAACTGCACCTTACTAATTTACTAGCACTTTAGTCATAATTTTGCTGTCTCTAATCCTCATCTGATGGATTCACTAACTGTCATTATAAACTGCATAGGTCTAATGAAAAGATAAATAATGGTCCATCTTCCTATAAAATATTGCCACAACAGTGACTCAGAGTCTAATACTGTGAGGAGAACTATTGTTTGCTAATAAAACAGGGCATTTTTTTTCATATTACTTTGACACATCCAATGAAGAATGGTTACTGAGGTGCTAATATCTTCCATGATCAACTGCTTAATGTTGTATTTCTCAGTTCTACTTTTTTATGTGATCTTAAAATTTGCAAGGAAGACCTCTACATTTTTGCTCAAGCCTCAGCACAACTGCACACTCAAAATTCAGGAAGTAAACATAGCCAATGGTCATTCTGACCAATGGGGAGTGACACAGCCTACATGTATATTTGAGGATATTTAAGTTGTCAACAAAACTTGAAGTCTATCAAGTCCATCGTATTTAAGTGAGTCACATTTCAGAATTGTTAAACCATCAATGTTACATTCAAACGTTGGTGTATTCACCCTAACATTTTAACGTTGTGATATTTTATGCCCATGGTAAACACTTAGTGACTATGTCTCAACCTTAACTTTAACAGCTCACAGTGTATTAGAAGCACATTTTCTATACTGAGAATGTATTTAGAAGTACTCACTATGTAATTGCAGCTACATTTTCAACTAAGAACTCTACAGTGACTGAATAATATTTTTGCATTGTACACTCAGGCATGACATAAATATTGTTGGTTTACCTTGCTACAATTAGGATTGACAAGCATTCCTTACATTTTAGTAATGACCTGTTAGTGGAGATCACCCACATAAATAGACACTGTAGTCAACTAACTAGATTACAGAAATGTGTTCCATTGACATAAGCTGTGGTACAAATAATTTGATTTGAATAAAGTCAAGTAATAAACATAAGTAGGTGTAGTTGAGATTTTTAAGTGTTGAAATATACTTTCATTGCTAGAGAAAAATAATGAAGATTTATATAGTATACATAAGATATAAAATTGTAAACTGCTTATTATCCTCAGATTTCCAGAAGTGATCATCCATAATGCAGTAGAAAGACCAAAAATCTTAGGAAAACCAAGCTGGGTCTTGTTTAAAATGTTTCTTAGCTTTTGCAAACTTCAAACCTGAGTCAACTGCTTAAAGAATTGCTATATCTTGTAGCCTGCATTCCACAACAGCTCTGCTTTTCAGGTAAACCACTTGAACTGAGCCGTTTGGGAACTGTCTGTTCTGTAATATTTTTCATTGAGGAGCAATATCTTATTTTGTAAAGCATTTTCCTGTGTGTGACTTAAAGCTGTAAAACATTGGTTTTGTGGTTTCAGTGGACACAATAAATACAAATTGTAAACTAGGTTAAAGTATATGCTGCATATAATATGTTTTAGAGTTGGAAACTACTGTCTAGTTATTTTCAATTTGCTTATGACATCAGTTGCACAAAAGCGGGCACCAAGAAAGTCCTAGGCTCTCTATAACTTCTATCGTTCATCATTCACATTGGCATAGACAATATTATCTATTAAAGTTCTGTGGAGCTATTATTTCAAGTTCCTCTTGCTAGATTATTCCTCTCTAAAGCTTGCCCACTTTGAAATTTGGTTGTTAAATTAGGAACAACAAACAATAGAATTTGCATTATTTTTTGGTTTGGTATATAAACTTATTCCAGACATAAAATTAAAGCTGACATAATAATAGAAGCCAAGAACTTTTTTTCAAATTGAAATTCTTTAGCAATTCTGTTTATTTGGTAACAGATTTATGGCATTAAAATTCCTAAGATCGCTGACTCTCTTAAACCCCAAATTATAACTATTTAGTATAAGATACAAACATTGAATTTCCCTCTTATAGCTAGCATTATTTTAGAATTATAGTATTGTATATTTTCTCAGTACCATCTGTACTTTTTAAAGAAATGATTAAAAATGCACACTTTTTAAAAGATAGTCTGCCAACTACATGATCACAACATGGCTAAGAGTTGTTAATCTTCTCATGTCAGGCCCTTTGGCCACCTCACAAAATATTTACTGCAGGTTTCTCTCTACAACCTTGTGAGTGGGCATTGACATTCCAGTATTGCAGATGACAGTCACAGTACGATAATCATTAGTGATTACCTGGCTTTCACCAAGTGCCAAGCGCTGTTGTAAGCACCTCACGTATTTATTATCAGTCATTACCATCTTTAGACACTAAGACTGAAATCCTTATAGACAGTGAGTCTGAAGGAGCAAACACATGGTGAATGGAGGGCTGTGAGATTGGAGGAGTGGAGGGAGGAGTGTTTGCATGTCCTGCAGAGTGGGTTCCTGAGTACAGCAAGAGATCTCCTGAAACTCCAAGGAAAGTGGCAAGCAGGCTAAGGAAAAACAGGCAAAAAACAAGAATAGAGTTAAGAGCTGAGAATGCAACAGAGGACTATTTAAAGAGAGAGAAGAGGAACTTTAGTTTGAGAACAATTAAAATGTTAGAAATATTAACACACAAATAAACTTCAAACTTAAGCACTTAGCCTTACAGTTTTGCAGCTAATAATGAGCTGTTTCAATGTCAAAGACATTCTGAGGGGTAGATTTTAAATTAGGAGCAGAATGAACAAAGGAAAGGGTTAGAAACAGACATAGAAATGTTTGTGAAGTGCAAATTATCATAAAAGTCTATATTCTCTTGCATCTTTCCATATATATATATATACACACACATTAGAGTGTTTTGTCTGTCCAATTCTACTTATGTTTTCCCACAGAATAAATGATCACAACCCACCCTCAAACTCCATGGATTATGCATATTTAGATTTTGATTATCTGTGGACAGTCCTGAAAATAAATTGACTACCATGCTTTTATATAGACATAGGTGAGAAGGAAAAGTGGTTTAAAAGTTCTGTGCATGTCTGCTACATAGATAAAAAGAATTGAATCCTGGAATAATTAACCATCTGAGACACGTGCGTTGGGATGGAGGAAAATAAGCAGACCTAAGACCCAAGACCGCTATCTAACATGTTTATAAGATTACCTGCAGCGCGGATTTCTCTCCCTCCTACACGCCTGCCATGCTTTGTCTCTCTACTTCATCTTTCATCTGGATTTGCCTTGAACTGAAAGCATAGCCCTTTTGTTGCTGCTGTTATTACTTATGATTAAAAGCATCTAAATCTTAGAGAGCCAAAAAGTATATTTCTTAATCACTTGTAAGTAGATTCATTTCAAAAATTAGTGACTAAACTAGTTCAAGATTAACAAGTGTTTCATCTATAAAAATGTCAAGAACAATTAACCCTTCTTTTTCCAATATACGTCACCTTATAAACATTGCAAAGAATTTACCTAGGTTGTTTTGTCATTTTCAGAGGCCTTTCCTATCCCACAACCTGTTTAAAGACATTTTCTCTTGTTGCTTAGATATTAGTTGTATTTTTAAGGAGTTTTAAGAAGGGAGCTCAGGATTCAGAATTGAATAGGATCAGACAGAAGATATAAACACACAACAGCCTTTATAAGCAAAAGAGTGATGCAGCGCTGGAAGTTTGACCAGCTGTGCTCATCTCAGACAGTGTTTCCCCATGAATAAAAGTAGTAGACATTCCTTCCTCCAAGGTTATGTTATGACTGCTCAGTTCTTAGCTCCTCTGTTGCTACCACCTAAATCCAAACCACCAACCTTTTCCAGCCTGAACACAGCAAATGGCTTTTATATATTTATTTATTTATTCATTCATTCATTTATTTAGAGTTTTTTGAAACAAGGATGTTGCTTCAAAATTGTCAGGCATAAGAATTTTGGAGGATACCTCTAGAATTCTGTTTCCTACAAAGTTTCATCCCTGGAACTAATGATCTATATTGGAATCAAGGAAGAGGTCACCTTCTTACTAACGGTCCTGACTTTCAGGACCAGTCACAGATATCAAAGTCTAAATCTGCAGGCTAGTTTTGAACTATGTAGTTCAGGTTAGCTTTGAACTCACTATGTAGTGCAGGCTGGCCTTGAACTCTCAGTGAATTTCCTGCCTCAGCCTCCCAAGTGCTGGGATTACAGGTGTGTATCACTACAGCCAGCAAGCAAATGCTTTTAAGTGAAGCTGCCTGATTCCTTCATCAGTAAGACTGGTCACATAATGCCACACTGGATCATTTCATTCTTCTGCTAAAAAGTCTTGCAACATCTTCGTATGTGACCCAAAGTAAGGAAGAATGTCCTTCTGGTGCCTGCGAGGTCCCAAAGGAACGGGCTTACCTACCCTCACATTTTCTCCTGCTCTCCAGCTGCAGCTCAGTATTCCAGTTAATTCACCTCCCTGCTTATCCTCCAATGTATCAAGTGTGAACCACGTGTAGAATCCTTGCTCAGAATGCTCTTTTCCTAATATATGCTGCCTCCCTCTTTTCCATAAAATCCTAGTTCAAACATTCTCTCTGAGAGACTGCCTCTACTAACTCTAAACTAAGCAGTACATTCCTGCTTCAGTTTTTTTTTCATGGCTCTTATCAAAATTTACAGTTTCATGATATGGTCATTCATATGTTTTTTTGTTTGTTTGTTTTGGTTTTTTTCCGGTACCAGGAATCGAACTCACAACCTTGCGCTTGCCAGGCAGGTGCTGTGCTGCTGAGCTAAATCCCCAGCCCCTCATTCAGATGTTTTCTATCTCCGGTAATATACACAGATCTACAAATGTACCTACCTGAACATATATCTTCATTATTTATAGCTACATTATTATAGGCTATGAGGAGGATGTGTAGCGTATAACAAATGCTCAGTAAGTATTTTTGAATAAATGAGTGATTGAATGCATGGATGGTAATACAGGTAGATAATCATCATGAAAGAGTTCAGGGAATAGCAAGTTATGGACAGTGGGCTAAAGGCAGTAGTGAGAATATTTTCAGAAGGTAACACTGTTTTAAATTAAAAAAAAAAAACAAAAACAAAAAAAACAAGCCAAGTCACAGACTAGGAATGTCAGGCATCAAGAATAGATGAGTTAGTAAGAAGGTGACTACCTACTTGATTGCAAGTCGTTAGTTTGTAACTTTGCAAAAAACAGAATTCTATATCCTCCAAAATACTCATGCCTTTATTATCCAGTCAAACACCAATCTTGGTCCTGCTGTGAAAGTATTGTGCAGATAGAATTAATGTTACTAAACAACAAACCTCAAAACAGACAGATTATCCTGAATTAACTGGGAAGGTCCAATGTAATCAGAAGAATTCTAACAAGCAGAACAGAAAGGCAAAGGGAGAAATCAGAGAAATTTCAAGCGTGAAAAAGATACCATGCTTCATTTCCAAGTTGGACCATTTAAAAAGGAAGGCATAAGCTAAGGAATGCAGGCTGCATCCAGGAAATGAGAAGGAGAGTGTCCTCTGGCTGACAGCAAGCAAAGACACAAGGACCTCAGCTTTACAACTGCAAAAAACAAGAGTCTAGTAATAAAAATCTAGGAATTTTGGTACAGTTTGGATATTTCCCTCCAAACTCATTGCAAAATTAATTCCCAGGAAAAAATGTTGAACAGTGGGATTCTTAAGAGAGGTGACTGGGGGTCAGGGATATAGTTACCTGGCACAAGAGCCTGCCTGGTAAGTGCAATGTCCTGAGTTCGATTCCCAGTACAAGAGAGAGAGAGGTGATTAGGTCATAAAGGCTGTGCTCTTATGAATGGATTAATGTGGTTTGTCTAGAGAGAGTGTTTGTTATGTCAAGAATGGTTTATGGCTTTCAGGTAGGTGATTTCAGTTCTCTGTCTCTGTCTCTCTGTATCTATCTATCTATCTATCTATCTATCTATCTATCTATCTATCGCATTCCTTCACCTTTTGCCATGTTATAGCACAGCAAGAAGTCCCTTCCTGATGCTGGCCTCTCAGCTTTGGATTTCCCAGCTTCCTAAACTATGAGAAATAAATTTATTTTCTTTATAAATTGCCCAGTCTGTGTATCCTGTTACAGAAGTACAAAGCAGTCTAACACAAGATGGGAATCAGCTTAATTCTCAAAGCCCCCAGAAAAGAAAAAATAGCCCCAGTGAAACTTTGATTCCAGACTTGGAAAATCCAGAGCAGAGACCTGGCTGAGCCATGCTGAGCCTGGACCTCTCTAGAAATGTGATATAATGAAGGGGTGCCATGCAAAGCTACTGATTGATTAGCATTTGTTATACTACCTGTTAAAAAATGAATACATAGATAAGAACAAGTTAAAATGTCAACCTAGAGTAGAATATAAGAAAGGCTATTCTGTTAGACCCATGGGAAAAATTCACGAGTTTAAGATCCAGTTACTGGTGTTGTAATATAAAAAAGTACACAAGAGAAATAGAATCAAAGTTACTAGATTTATCATGAAAGCTTGAACTAAAAGCATCGACCAATCGAACCTTGATATGCAGTCACCTTAGGGTTTACACTTTGGCTCAAAGACAAGGTTAGCTAAAAGCTTGGTGCACACTGAGAATCTATAGCCACAGTGAAAAGATCAATCAAAAACAAGGTTGAACGCAGGGGAAAGGAAAAAAGGTGC